AGCCCTCCTCTAAGCCCTCCTCCAAGCCTAACTCTAAGCCATCCTCCAGAGCCCCGTCGCGACAGGCGTCTACGAAAGAGGAGGCCGAGAAGAAGCCAAAGTCCAGCAATGGCAAAGATAATAAAGAAGCCGCCCCCGTTCACAAACGGTTCGAGTTGCCCGGAGATGGCACTCATAACCATCACCTCCGCAGCGCAAGACGACAGGAGAAGCTGACGGATCTACTACGTGACATGCTGGGCGGTGGCAGGAAGAAGGATGATCACGTGGACGAGCAACAGCTATCACTTATGTCTACATGGATCGACCAGTTTAAAAACGAACGGGATAAGCTAGCCGCCGACAAGAAGGGCGGCCCCAACGCCACCGCTTCGCTGGTTGACAAATACGGAAAATGCCAGGAAATCGTTGGCCGTGGCGCCTTCGGTATTGTTCGGATATCCCACAAGGTGGACCCGAGAGACTCGAAAGTTGAACAGCTGTATGCCGTGAAAGAGTTCCGTCGTCGGCCACAGGAGACGACGAAGAAGTATCAGAAGCGATTAACCTCGGAGTTTTGCATTTCCTCTTCCCTTCGCCACCCCAACGTCATTCACACCCTTGATCTTCTACAGGATGCCAAAGGTGACTACTGTGAGGTGATGGAGTACTGCGCTGGAGGCGATCTCTATACCCTCGTGTTGGCGGCCGGAAAACTGGAAGTGGCCGAGGCGGATTGCTTTTTCAAGCAGCTTATGCGTGGCGTGGAATACATGCACGAAATGGGTGTTGCCCACCGTGACCTGAAGCCCGAGAACCTGTTATTGACCACCCACGGAGCTCTCAAAATTACAGATTTCGGAAATGGTGAATGCTTCCGCATGGCATGGGAAAAGGAAGCTCACATGACTGCGGGCCTCTGTGGTTCAGCCCCTTACATCGCCCCGGAGGAATACGTCGAGAAGGAATTCGACCCTCGAGCGGTGGACGTATGGGCGACGGGTGTTATTTACATGGCCATGAGGACTGGACGCCATCTGTGGCGTGTGGCCCGCAAGGATGAGGATGAATTTTACCAACGCTATCTGGAGGGTCGTAAGCATGAGGATGGTTACGCTCCCATTGAAACTCTGCATCGGGTAAGTGTTGAGCGAACCCCTCGCTTCAAGTTGACACTGGCTCACAATGTCTCCCAGGCGCGTTGCCGAAACGTGATCTACTCTATTCTGGATCCCAATCCTTCCCGCCGTATCAACGCCTCGCAAGTCTTGAAATCCGAGTGGGTTCGTGAGATCAAGCTGTGCAAGGCTGGTGAGGAAGGATACTGATACATGGTCTCGACGGATTGATCGGACGTTGTTCCGGGCTGTGTATCCCTGATGGTGGTTTGCCTGTTTCTGTTTGTCTGCCTCTGGCGACTGCTTAAAACCATTAACCCGGGTGGTTTATGTGTTTCTCCCGTTCCTTTTGGGAGGGTTGTCTATTTTATTTATTCCCGGTCCTTCTGAGCTGTTCTATAGAAGGAGGCACCTTGATTTTACACTACTATACCGGCGCATGTTTTCTGTCTTTCTTCTTTTTCATCTGCCTACTAGCTTATGGGCTTAGTTTGGTCGTCATGTTTTCATGCCAATGCAACGAAGAGTCATGACCTATGAGCCACCTTTTCATTCCTCCCACATTTTCTTTTTTGTTCGCCATGGTTTTCTCTTCTACGTTCGATACCTTTTCTTTCGCATTTCATGCATCTCAGGCATTCTTTGATTGGTCTCATTCCCTATATGCGTTTTTAATGGGCCTTGTCAGTGGCTGAATGACAAACACCGACAGGGGAATTTCCCTTTCTGCCCGGGTTATGTTGATCATGCTGGCCGGCTTCCACCTTTTTGGGTCTGGGCGCGCATATATTCATTCTCATGGGACGGTGTTGGAGCATTATGGGTTTTGTGAGATGTAGCATCGGGAGGTTGTATTAGTATGGGCGGTGTGATTTATCTTGGGATACCCATTTGCAGCACATATTCCAGTATAACTATGAGCATCCGCATCATATCTACGAATCAAACCTGCGCTTTATTTGAGTTTGAAGCATCATTTTTTGGAGAGACGTTTTGGGATGAGCCGGCCGGGGGTCAGGTGAGTTGGCCTGACACCGCACGAGCAGGAAGTATTGCTCGATGGCTCCTTCCTAACCTCATCGTATATGACATTTCCCACCCATCAGCCTTTCTATCCTCCTACATCTCCCTATGACTACCCCCAGAGTAGACAGACTCATGACTCGACCCTACTAGCAGACCTCTGGTTCAAACCTAGTCCCGGCACTATCATCTATGTCGTTGCTGCAGCACCTCTGAGTGACCCAGGAGCAGATGGCTCCAGGAGCTCTATGACCGGCTGGAGTACAGTTGGCAGCGTCCGCTTGGCCTTGGAAGTATGGGGCTTCCCACACTAAACAGACTTTTTCCCCCTCCCAGTCGGTCGGCCGATACCTGATGATGACTCTTGAGTGCGTCTCGACAGTCGTTGGCTGCCCCCTATTCTACTTGCTGCTGACGCCATGTCTAGTCGACGTCTAGGGTGAATAAAACGCTACATTTTCCGATCATATTACCATGCAAGCAACGGGCCCTGTGCAAGGTAGGCCGGCTTCTGACTATCCCTTTTCAACAGCTGGAAATGGTTACACGCCGACGTCTGCAATAGGGCCAACCTTCTTTCCAGCAGCCGAAGAAAATTTCTCACACCAGGATGGTGAAAGGTGTGGATCCGTCCAATAACGTGTGCATGAGGGACTTCTGAATCGAAAGTACAACTAGCATAGGGGCCGATGCGTGAGCGACTTCTTACTATTGTCTTGGGCCCATACTTCTATCGATGCCAAGATTTCCTAGGCAGCCAAGAGGCACAGCATTCTCCAATCCTCAACACTCCATGCCAATGGATAAGAGAATCGGTCTGGGGGTCTGGAAGACTCCAATTAATGTACCTAGGTACGCCTGAGAAGGGTGTATGCATCAGATGCATCAGGTGCCTCAGGTAGGCCGGCTGCCCAATCAATAAGGGTCATCATAACAAAATATGCGCCGTACGGAGCTGCAAACGGAGGGGACGCCGGACGCGAGCCAGATCAAGCTTGCTTGGCGCATCATGCAGCCCCAAAAAGGAACGCGAGCCCGTAGTTCAATAGGAACCAACCCTCGGAGGAAGGCTAGCTTGCTGAAACCCTGGCCTGGTGGAGCTCGAACAGCTCAGCAGCGCTCAGCAGGTGAGTCTGGTCTGTTGGAATGGATAGGTATTGTGTGTCCACTAGCTTTGTGATTGTTTTGTCCGCTGGACGACAACCACAACACTGCATATCTATGTTGAAGCACTTTCCCTTTCTATTATGTATCATTACTAATTTTCCTGACCGTCTTCCCAACACAAGCATGCATGATTCATCCCCCTTTGTTCGAGCCACTGCCCAATCCCGTTGTGGAATGCCGCCCTCGGCAGTCTGGCCAGCCCTATGCAGTTGTCCTCGCCCAGAAGGATCACGTCGTGCAACCCGGACAGGCAGCACCATTTTTTACCTAAGCCGAGACTAATTATGGGCAATCCAGGGCCGCCAACGACCACGACCCTGAAGGTAAGGAACACCCACCTGAAGGCCGATTGGAAATCAGGTGGATGTCAGCCATGCAAGGCTGGCCTTACTAGCCTCATTGAGTAGGATTTGTGTCTGGATCCCAAACTAAGGGAGGTGCCGATGTCGATTATACTTGGCAAATTGTCTCTCATTGCGAAGTCAATTTAGTGCCCTCGTCCTTGTATACCGTCAACGCCTACCTTTTGAATCTTCAAGTGCCGGTTGGTCCATTGGAGTTGCTACTAAATGTGTTTTACAAGAGGATTGATCCCTTCGGTACACTAATTAATCCACTATCTTCAGGAATGCTGGAGTGAGGAACACTAGACTTGCCCCGTCACTGGTACACTTTGCGGTCTTTAGAGGACGGATCCCGACAAACGCGGATAAACACGGATTGCTTCGCATGAATAAGATGCTCATCCTAGTATACTATAGCCGCGGCATAAGAAGCATCGAGCTGCAGGTGATTTTGTATAGTGTGCGCTTGCCTAAGGGGTATTGGAAGCGTGAAGAATGTTTGTGCGACCACAAACATCGAGATCAGGGTTGCATGTACCCCATACTTTCGCTTACAACTTTTACTGTCACTTGACAGAATCTCGAATGCACTCCAGATAAATGCTACACTATTACATGAAGTTTAATGCCATCGCATGAAGTGCATTATGCGGCATGAAGATGGTGTAGGATACATTCTGATTGCCTCATAGGGCAACAGGACATCGAAACTCCGATGTATCTTGTGTCACATCATGAGGTCGCTCGATCTGGCTGGCATCATGACGTCTCCAGCTACATCCAAAGTCATACTCAGGCACAAGGCAAACCGAACCCACCCCCTTCCTCTTTGACATCACCATCCCCATCTGTCTGGAGAAGTCTCGGATTGCAGGCTGCCAGATTCCATTAATTACACGGAGAGGAGGGGCCGGCCTTATGACGTCAGAAACGAGCAGAACCGGCAGTCGGAAGTTCAAAACGGCTGTTTCGTAAATTCTTGCGGGTAATTTTACACTTTCCAGTTCGTAGGGCTGTAAGTTAAACAACCGAACAGTAAGATTTAGTAAATAATCATGACACAGCCACGGGATCCAGGCAGAAAAGTGCACAGCCACAGCCACGCCAATCAATCAATCAATCGAACGTCTCCGAACATCATTCCGTCCCGCATCGGGCATCTTGCTTTCTGAGGGCCTTTCGCATTCATTCAATCAACCCTGTGTCTATTCTCCTCCCCCCCTCTCCTCACATTATACGTCTACTATATCCAATAACCCACTTTGTCCTCCACCTACGGAGTTACCGGTTCTTTGATTTCGAACATACACACCCCACCCCCTAACTGGTTACCGGACCCCCCCGACCGACCGCTACTGAAGTCGCCATCATGTCCTGGGCAGGTGCGCTGAATACTCCCCGTTCCTACCTATCGATGGATCCTGCGCCGTACAGGCACCCATCCCTACCTGAATTGTCATTCTGACCGGGTCTACAGGGTTCAAGAAAAATGTCAACCGCGCTACCACGCAGGTGATGATGAAGACGGGTATGTTGGATTATAACCCCGCTCGAGTCGGGGACGAATATTTCTACGACATATTGCTTGGCGGTATTGCAAGGAATATACTGATACATTGGCTTGGGTTGAACAGGACATGTGGAGCGCACAAGTGATCGCGATTATGAAATTGAAGAGCGGTATGGATTGTCCGACTGATCGGAAAGGGGATGCAACTTGTTTGACTGACGTGGACACGATGCGATATAGTCGGTACCGGACGATGGAAGCCGCCGCAAATCGGTTACAGAAAGAGGCAAAGGGATACTTGGATTCGCTACGAGGTGTGTTTTGATACTCCGGTCGCTATATTAAATATGATGCGGAGGCGGATGCTGACGTTGGATGGGTGATGGATAGCTATGACTGCCTCGCAGATGCGGATTGCCGAGACTATTGATGCCTTCTATGGTGATGCTGGAACCAACGACGGAGTGAGTCGGAGTTATAAGCAGGCTGTGGAGGATCTGGATGCGGAAACGATCAAGGCGCTGGACGGTCCGTACCGGTACGTTTTGGAGTCATTGCTATGGACGCCCTTTTGGGCATGGCGACCCATTGGTTGACTGGGATTTTATAGCTCGACTGTGTTGGAACCCATCTCTCGGTTCTGTGCCTACTTCCCGGATATCAACGAGTGCATCAAGAAGCGCAACCACAAGTTACTCGATTACGATTCGATGCGCGCCAAGGTCAAGAAGCTGGTTGAGAAGCCCGATAAGGATGCGACGAAACTGCCCCGGACGGAGCGCGAGACGGAAATCGCCAAGCAAGCGTATGAGCAGTTGAACGAACAGCTCTTCACTGAACTGCCCCAGCTCATCGACCTGCGAGTGCCGTACCTGGATCCTAGCTTCGAGGCCCTGGTGAAGATTCAACTGCGGTTCTGCGCGGAGGCATACTCGCGCATGGCGCAGGTGCAACAGTACTTGGATGCGGAGACGAGGGATCAGTATGCTCGGGGAGACCTGGACAACCGGGTGGAAGAGGTGTTGCAGGAGATTCGGGATTTGAGCATAGCAGGCACGGTCTGATAGTTTGTTCGTTCGTGATACTTTGGAGTGGAGTTCAATTCTTTGCTTGTCTGTTTTTTTAAGCTGCGTGCGATGGTAGCCGCTTTAATCATTCTGCATCCAAGCCTTGGTATTATTGTTAACACTATTTCTTTGAGAGTGTTCTTGAGTCGAATCCATATGCACGTAGATGAAAGCGTAGGCTGCAGAGGAAAAAGCAAGTCTAATAATATATGGGTATCTCTAAACCACCTCTATCTGATCTATCTATAATTACACCATAAGTCACAATATCATACACCCAGTCATAGACACCAAACGAACCCCCAAGAGGAATCACTCCGCACCATCCCTATACAACTCATCCACCAACACCTCCAAAACCGGCCCCGCGGCAGCCCTCACAGCCTTCAACTCCTGTTCACTCATCTCCGACAGGACATACTTCGCAACACCCCCTCGATCCCTCGTCTCGGGCCTCCCAATCCCCACCCCAATCCTCAAGACCGACAAATCCACCCCGGCCCCAAGTACATTCTTCTTCGGATTGGGAGGATACATCCCCTTGCCCCTCAAACTCTCAAACGAACTAATCAATCCCCGATGTCCCCTCAAACTCGCCTTCTCAGGCCCGCCTCTCTTCACCCGGACTTTTCCCAACGGCGCTTCCAGTTCATCATGGAGGATGACTAGTGTCGGGGAGAAGTTTCGGAGGGTTGTCGGGTCAGCGCCCCGGAGATGCCATTCTGCAGCTGTAGCGTCTGATGTAGGGTCTGTGGAGAGTACATTCCCCGGCTGCACGATCTTCTGGTATATTTCCGTCTGGGTGGATGAGAGCCACGATTGGAAGTTGCGGAGGAGTTTGGGACCCGATTCGTTCATGTATGATGGGCTCGTGTAGGTTTTGTAGAATAATGGGTTGATTATGTTGCCATTGTTGGGAGAGGTGCCCACGAGAGGGACTCGGCGTGGGAGAAGTGGCGTCAGGGCTTCGAGGAGGATGTGGCCGGCGCTGTGTCGCGTCGTGCGGTATGGGCGTGGATTGCCGATTGAGGCGATGAAGAGGAAGCGGCGGGGGGTTTTGAGGGGGGGAGGGGTGGACATTGAGGGTGAGGTAGCGTCGGGGTTGTGGTTGAGGGGGATGATGGGGGTAGTTGTGGTGGTAGTGGTGGATTTTGCGGATGGTTGTTGGTGGTGATGATGTTCTTGTTCCTGTTCCTGTTCCGTGGTTTGGGCGCTGTGCAGCCCTACTGCTTCATGCATCGACGGGAACTTGCTTTTGTTTCGCTTTGCTTTGCTGTTTCCACTTCTTTGGGATGGATTGGTGTCCATGGCATATATTTCTGGTGTGGATATGATGATTTATTTCTGAGATCATCATTTTACTGGCGTGGATTTGGGGTGCTTTCTTATACTATACTGACTGCTACTCATTTCATCATCGCAGGAACTGTATACTTCCTTCTTCCCTCCATCAAGAACAGAACCACCCGACTTACTTGCATGCTTATCCCGCTGAGTTGACTCACTTTCTGACTCACATATCTAACTGTTAGTAATTAAGTAATAGCAAAGCTGCTACCTATGGATCTCATGTGGAGAAATGCTCGACCAAATACCATACAAACCCTTGTCCCTACAGCCTCAGCGTCAGGCTGTGCCAGACGCCACACTGCACTAAAAACAGAACTCACAAGGCTACAAACTACAAGATGACCGCCCGAACTGACCCTTCAGCCTATCAGCCTAAGCGTCTCATTTCTTCCCCCGACACTCCTCCACTAAGCCAGGCGATCGGGCCAAAATCGACCCAGGACTAGGGAACGACCACCCCGGCTGCCACAAAACGGGGAAATGAAAGGACCGCTGGCTGCATGGGGTCTCGTGTGCTTTGCCTAGTCGCACTGCAGTTGGTTTCCCAGAAACTGGCCCGTTCCCGTCGATCAGAACGGGGCCTTCCAGTCTGCCTCTGCATCGATGGGTCTAGAGACTTCTCTCGGCCTCTCAGCATGCGCGGTGCACGAACTAGTCCAGCGGCCTTGGGTCGTTCGTCTATCACGGCCTCGGTGCTGATCAACTGCCCTTCTAAGCTGGCATAGCTTCTATGCCATCTTTTAATTCTTTTCTCCGGCTTTTTACTCTTCCTCTTCCTCACTGTCCACAGCCCACCTGGTCGTGTTCCTCTCACTAGGCTAGCCAATGTACTATATTCCGACCATCCGGGGTCCGTCGTCCATTTTCTCGTGCTCCCCAAGCCGTTGAGAAATCTCCGTGTTTGTCCTCCAGCACTACTTGGACCAACTGCGTCATTCTCGGCATCTTCCGCCATCTTTGCTTTTTCTTCCTCCCTGTGGTCTTGGGCTGGAACAGAAACGATGAACTATTCACCTCCTACGTGTCAGTGAAGCTCGCTATTAGCACTCGTGGCACATGTTTGACGGCCTCGTATGATCCTGATTGTGGTTGCACCTTGAGAGTTGCTACAGAAAGTGCTGCCCTAAGCTTGATCGGGCCTGACGTTGGCCTCTGTCTTCAAGAGAAGCTTCTCTATAAACCCAAGCACGCCACACCCTTCACCGAACACCCCTCTCAACTTCGTCATGTCATGGAGGCAAAAGATCTCCAGCCGTTGGGCCAAAACGAGCCAATCGTCGAGCCCGACGAGAATGAGAATGCGCAGAAGCAATCATGGACCAAGCCTCCTCCGGATCCCGAGTCCAACTCCGAGTCAGACGCAGACTCGGACGAAGCATCCATGTATGCAATGCCTTTCTTGGTATCCTGCAATGCCAACACCCAGTGGAGTTGCTAACCATACACCACCACCAGCAACTCGTATGAGACACACCAGCTCGACATCTACGAAGAGAATAACCGTCGCTACCCCAACGATTCATACCACATGCCGAACGATGAACCCGAACGAACCCGTCTGAACATCGTCCACCAGATTTACCTCATCCTCCTAGACGGACACTTAACCGCCGCCCCCATAGTTACCAATGCGCCTCGCGTCCTCGACATCGGCACCGGTCCCGGTGACTGGGCCATTGAAATGAGCCACGCCTACCCCCACGGCACCATCATCGCTTCTGACATCGGCGTCTTCGACAACGCCCTCGGCCATGTCGACCTCCCCAACCTCTCCTTCCACCTCGACGACGCCCGCGACGAATGGGCCTACGACATCCCTTTCGACCTCATCCACCTCCGCGGCCTCTCCGGTGCCTTTCCCGACTGGTCCTTTATCTACCAGCAAGCCTTTGACCACCTTGCTCCCGGCGGTTACCTCGAAGTCGCAGATACCGACTTCGCCGCTGAAACCATGATTTCCCTCCCGCCGAACTCCTACCTACGTCTATTTGCCTCCGCCCTCCGCTCCGCAGACTACTCGGCGGGTTATCTGCGCGATCTGAGCCATCTCCAGCCCGCGCTCTTCCATGCTCAGGGGTTCATCGACATTGATGTCCGCGAGTACACGTTCCCCATCGGACTGTGGCCCGAGTCGCCGCATGACCGGACCGTCGGCAAAATGGGCCTTATTGCCTTACTGGAAGGCCTGGAATCATATAGTTTGCGTGCCTTGACCACTACGTATGGCTGGGTGGCGGAGGAAGTGCGCGAACTATGTGACCAGGTGCGTGCGGAAATCTTGCAAGGCGTGTATCGAATTAGTGCGAGGGTGAAGATCGTGACGGGGCGGAAGCCGTTGACGTGAGCAGATATGTAGATATCCTTTTCGTTCTTCTTGTTCTGTTGATGACCTTATGATTATGATTCTATTATCACTTATACCATACCGTGGATCGGTATGGTCTTTGATCAGGCTTTATCTTGAAGATATAACCTCCAATGGAGACAGTTCAGACTTTTTGTATCTATTCTCTCGCACAGTCCATATAGATGTGATATCTCCAACGCACATACAACAATAGAAAGCAAGTGAATCAAATAACAGAAGAGACCTTTTTTATCCTAACGCCCCGAACCCAATGCAGTCGAGCACAACATCAACAGGCTAGACAAAACAAAACAAAGACAACAGCGGGTGGGTAGATACCAAGCAAGTAGGAAGCAAAGAATAAACTACAACTGGAACTTCGTCCTCGTCTTCTCCATTTGTCCCTTCCACTCCCACTCCTGTCCACTAGCTCTCTGGATCCCCTTATCAACTCTGCGCAACTTCAACGTAAACCGGGGTCCCAGTTCCTGCATACCCGCCCTAATGCCCTCCGCACCCTTCATCTCCTTTCCATCGGCACCCACAACCGCCTTCTCCGTCTCCCTCTTCTCCCGGAACACATACCGATGACGACGGAAGAACAAATAATCACGACTATTCAGCACCGTCACGACCTGCCGGCCCTCGATATCAGGCTGCGGCGGGAACAGCGTCCGGAACAAATGCGCCGTCAACAGACCCAGCGGCGTGCGGAAGTTATTCAGAATCAGCTCGGGCCAGTGGTCCGTGGCACGTCCGTGACCCGGAATGCGCTTGCCCTCGACCCAGTTCGTCATGGAGAAGTGGAACATAGGTCCCGTGGGGAGATGCACGATGTCCAGACCGGCAGGCTTCTTCTGGTCTTCGCGGAGGATCACCACCGCCGTGAAGTTGCGGTTCGTGGCGAACTTGGAGATCTCGCGGATGGAGAACTGGTGCGCGAAGCGGTGGCGCGTGCGGCGGACGTAGACGGAGTTGGGGAACAGGTCGGTGAGGAGCTCGGCTTCGTGGTGAAGGGACGAGTTGAGGGACGTCGTGATGAGGATCTTAGGGGACTTAGGGTTCTCGGTGCTGAAGAGGGAGGGGAATTTGGACGCGAGGGCTTCGGGGACGAGATTTAGGTTGGTGCTCTTGGTCGATTGGGAGGGGCTGGTGGCGCGCTCTGTGGCTGTGGGGAGGGATGATTTGCTGCGGCCGCGAGTCGAGTCGGAGGAGGATTTCGATTTCTTCTTGCCGGAGTCTGAGTCTTCATCTTCGTCGTCGTCGGAAGCGTCTTCGTCTTCCTCGTCGCTGCTGGCGAGCATGCTGTCCACATCGTCCTCATCATCCTCTGATCCTTCTTCTTCGGCGTCGGAGGATTGCTCGTCCTCGTTCAGGGGCCGGTTCAGCTCTTCTTCTTCCTCTTGCTTGCGCCGCTTGATGCGCTCGACGTCCACGCTCAGTCCCAGACCGTCCTCGACGTCGCTGCCGGCGTCATCCCAGACTCGCTTGCGGTCGATAGTCAGGGGGATGTTGCGCTTCAAACGCTCCTCCTTCAGCTTGGGGTTCTTGGCCTCTTCCTTCTTGAAAGCGTATCGTTCGGCACGGCGAGTAGAGTCCTTGGCGCGCTTGCGCTTGATATGGAGGAGTTTGCGCTGGATCTTGTTGCGGGGCTTTGCGTCGAGACCGACGCCCGGAGGCGGCCGGTGGGAAGCTTTCTTCGAAACCATCGTTTGCTGCAATTGGGGGTGAACGATGGAGGGGTAGGAAGTAGTTGAGTCGAAGCAAATGAAGATATCAATATTGGATTACCCGTTTGGGCTATCCAAAAAAATCTGGCGGATCAAGTGTTCATCCGGCGGTGAGAAAAGACCTGCTGAGTCATCCAGGGCGCGGCTCGATTGGGAAATGAAGGGAAGTTCAGCTTTCTCGCGATCAGCCAGGAATTGGATTCCTTTCGTGATTATTTGGCGGAAAGAAGGAGGGTAATTTGCCGGAAGAGAATCAAGGCCATTACAGCCCCGCATAAGTCCCTTGTCTCCGCATTCCTTATCGACGGCAAACTTGTGGATTGGTGGAGAGTTGAACAAAAGGGCAGGCGGATGAGTCACTGCAGCAGCGCTCAGCGGCTGGGCGGCCTAAGGTGTCGGCGGGCATTGGGTCCCTCTTTTCGGTCTTTTTGTCCCCGCCATCCCAATCGTCTTCTTCATCGCCAACTTCTGGCTTTTCGTCTTCCCCCCACTTGCGCCAGCTCCCCCTCCTCCTCCTCCTTTATTCTTCCTCCCCGTTCCTTTTCCACCTCCCTCCCCCGTACGCGACATCATCTCCCTCAGCCGTCCTCCAAAAAGAAGTCCACCAAAATGGCTTCCCTCTCCACCAAGACCGGCCAGGTCGTCGACCGGTC